TTTTTTTTTTTTTTTTTTTTTTTTGGTGGAACCGGGGCTTTAACTCAGACCCTTGTGCTTGCTAGGGAAGCGCTTATTTCTTGGTGTATATAATCTTTTTATTTACTTTTATTTTTATTTTTATTTTTATTTTTTTGGCAGAACCGGGGATAGAACTCAGATCCTTGCGTTTGCCAGTCAAGTGCTTATCCTACTGGTATATAATCTTTTTGATTATATAATTATACATAGGTAGTTTCTGTAAGGATGCCAAAGAAAATGTTAATTGGTTGCTTGTAGAGAGCGACTTTTTATCGTCCTTCTGCAGTATTTATAGTGTATGTAGCAAATGGCTTATAGATTTTCTGTGTACTACTCAAATCTTTCGCAAATCATGGTAAGACCAGGCATGGTGGCGCCCACCTATAATCTCAACAATTGGGAAACAGAGAGGATCAGTGTGAATTTCAGGCCAGCTTGGGCTACACAATGAAACCTGAAACCCTGTCTCAAAAACAGAACAAGAACATATTAAGTACATAATGGCTGGGAATACAGCTCAGTAGCGCAAGTATCTACCTGGCAAGTACAAGGTCCTGAGTTTGATTTCCAGTACAAAAGATAAAGTAAATCGATAAGTGAAAATCACAGTAAATAAATGGATGAATGACTGTGATACATGGAAAATATTGTAGAAACATTGAAATTCTAGAAGAGGAAGTAAAAAAGTAGCAGTCACTTATATCCTACTCCATCCTAATACCACCATGTGGAGAAAACCACTGTACTATTAACGTGTTGATGTATTTGCTTCTAGTACTTTATACATAGTCTATTTTATGATAACTGAAATCCAGGTGTAATTAGTATTACATAACTTGATACACTTTCTTACATCATTAAAATATTCTTATGACAAAGATACACGAAACCAAATTTATTTTACCAGTCCCCGTTGAGTATTTAGTTAACAGTTTTGAAAAAGAAAAGCCTGGTGTGCCAATGCATGTCTGTTGTCCCAGTTACTCAGTAGGCTGAAGTAGGAAGATCACTGAGCCCAGGAGTTTGGGCCAGTGTAGGCAGAGTAACAGAGCTCTGTCTCAAAAACAAAAATGAAGTAGCATTCCTTGAGCCATCTTTGAACATAAATCTTTGTGTGTGTGTGTGTGGTTTTTTTTTTAAATTTTATTTATTTGTGTGTGTGTGTGTGTGTGTGTGTGTGGCCAGCTCAGCCCGCCAGGGGGCGGGGCTGGCTGGCATGTGGTGCTGGGGATCGAACCGCGGTCCCTGTGCTTTGCCAAGCTTGATCCAAGTAGGTGCTTTAGACCACTGAGCCATCTCACCAGCCCCATAAATCTTTGTGTTATAGCTTGTTTAGTTTTATTTTGGTGCTAGGGATTAAACGTAGAGCCTCAACACATGGTAAAGGTATATGCTTAGTGCTATACCACTAAGCTGCACTCCCAGCCTGATTTATTTTTAAAGCTTCTTGGAGATAGAATTATTTAGAAGAGTTTTTGTATTTTACTACTTTTTTTTTTTTTTTTTGGTGGAACCGGGGATTGAACTCAGGCCCTTGCACTTGCCAGGCAAGTGCTTATTCCACTGAGCCATCTCCCCAGCCCCTCCAGCCCTGCTACTTTTAAGAACGATGAGGGCCGGCCTCATAGCTCAGTGGATTAAAGCGCCTGCTTAGGCAGAGCTCAGCAGCTGGAATTCAATCCCTGGCGCACTGAGCCAGCCCCACCCCCGCCACCCCTCCAGGGTGTGCTGAGATGGTGATTGAGACTGGGCAAAGTGGCATGCACCTGTAATCTTGGCACTTGGGAGGCTGAAAACAGGAGGATCACTACTAGTCTGATCTATGCAGTGAGACCCTGTAGACCCTATACTGTCTATACTAAATGCATTTTAAAAAATGGGGTGGGAGGCCAGGGAGATGGCTCAATAGAATGAGCGCTTCCCTGGCAAGTGCAAGGGCCTGAGTTCAATCCCTGGTTCCGCAAAAAAAAAAAAAAAAAAGGTGGAAAAATAGTGAAACCGTGTATCAAAAAGAAAAAAAGCAGGGCTGCCAGTATGGCTCAGCAGACTAAGTTCTTGCTTAAGCATGTGCAGGGGCCAGGGTTTGATCCCTGGCTCCACATGATGTGCCAGCCCTGCCCCCGGGTGTGCTAAGCCGGTGATGGAGTCCGGGCATGGTGTGTGCCTGTAATCATAGCACTTGGGAAGCAGAAAATCAGAAGGATCATTACAAGTGGGCTGGGTAGTGAGGCCCTGTACAAAAGAATAAATAAAGAAAAAAAAAGAAAAAAAAATGTGGAGGTAGTTTTTATCTCATTAGTGATACCCAGCCCACTGTATCCTCCCCAACACTGAAAAACATCTTGCACCATATTGTGACATTGTGGTCAATGCCGACCATCTAGCTTAGGGGTAGAGTAGGCTGTCCTGTCTAGGTTTGTATAAATGTACTCTATGTTACATGACAATGAAATCACCTAAAAATGCATTTCTTAGAGGATATCCTAGTAGTTGTTACCTAGCTGGCTAGGTGAAATAATGTTTTTTGTTTGTTTTCAGAACCGGGAATTGAACTCAGGCCCTTGCACTTGCCAGGCAAGTGCTTATTCTATTGAGCCATCTCCCCGGCCCCTAATGGTGTTATTTTGGATTGCAGTCCACCTATTACTTTTTTTTTGGTAACAGGGATCGAACTCAGGCCCTTGAGCTTGCCAGGGAAGCGCTTATTCCACTGAGCCATCTCCCCGGCCCCTGCTATTTGTTTCTCAATAAAATTATGAAAAAAAAAATTGCCCAGGGTCTGTAATTTGCTGGCTGACTTAAATCATCAGGAGTCATTTATTTATTTGTTTGTTTGTTTGTACCAGGAATCATACTCGGGACCTTGCATTTGCCAGGCATCTGCTGTGCCACGGAGCTATTTCCCTGGCCATCAAAAGTCTTTTAATACAACCTTCTTTTATACAGTCATGACAGTTGTCCTCTTAAGACGTGAGAAAACCTAAAGAGTACTGGATTAGGAATCAGAAAACTTAATTCAAGTATTAGTTGCTATTATTATCTGTATTATTAGGGCAAATTACTTAACTATTCTTAGTTTTAGTTTTTTCATCTTTAAAAGTAAGTTATTCCAGAGAACCTTATGATCACCTCCAAAATTACAATACAATTTGAGGTATTGTGATTTCAGCATTCTTTTTTATGTTTTATTTTTTCATTTTGTAGGTGCCTTTTACCTTGTATTTGAGTATATGGATCATGACTTAATGGGACTGCTTGAATCTGGTTTGGTGCACTTTTCTGAGGACCATATTAAATCATTCATGAAACAACTAATGGAAGGACTTGATTACTGTCACAAGAAGAATTTCCTGCATCGGGATATTAAGTGTTCAAACATTTTGCTGAACAACAGGTAACATATATAGTAACCAAATAAGATAAAATAATTCTTTCTCTTCTGAGTTGCAGTTGTCTAATTGTGATTATCAGTAAATCTAATAGTACAGTACAAGTTTCTCCTTTTAATTTGTATGAGTACAAGTTGGTCCTGACATTTGTACATTAGGAATAACTTAAGTTAGGAATATTCTCATTTGCCAGGCCTCTAGAATTAGTGTTGGGAAGGAATTAACCATGATAGATTTTTTTTTCTTTTTGCGGAACCAGGGATTGAACTCAGGCCCCTTTGCTTGCCAGGAAAGTGCTTATTCTTCTGAGCTATCTCTCTGGCCCAAGATTTTTTTTTTTTTAATTGCAAGCGTTTTAGGGAATTACTTGGATCTTACAGGAATAATCAGAGAGCTCTTTGCCAGTTAGGAAAGTCACAGCTCTGTTAAATTTAAATGCACATTATGTTCTTCCTTTTTTTTTTTTAATTTTTTTTAAAGTTTATTTATTTATTCATGGGGGGGCAGCTCAGCCCACCAGGGGGCGGGGCTGGCTGGCATGTGGTGCTGGGGGATTGAATCGCGGTCCCTGTGCTCTGCTAAGCTTGTTCTAAGTAGGTGCTTTAGACCACTGAGCCATCTCACCAGCCCCTGTTCTTCCTTTTTGAGTGGGAAGAAACATATTACTTTGTCTGTTCGTGGGCCTTTCTTAGTTATTGTCTTTCAGAGTAAACAAGTTGTATGTGATAATATGGCCTTTCTAACCCATACCTCCAGGTTTTAATAATGTAAATATTGGGCTGGTGAGATAGCTCAGCAGACTAAGCACCTGCTTAGGCAAGCATAGGGACCAAGGCTTGATTCCCCCATACCACATGCCATGCTGGTCCTGCCCCTAGGCGCGCTGAGCTGGCAACGAGTCTGGGCATGATGGCACAAGCCTGTAATCCCAGTGCTGGGGAGGCTGAAAACAGGAGAATCACTAGGAATCCAAGCTGCATAGTGAGACCCTGTATCAAATACATAAATCTAAAAAAATAGTATAAATAATTAGGAGGCTGGTATTAATTCTTCAGAAGGCTTTATCTTCCTTTCCTTTTTGGTTATTTGTTACATGGAATTGTAATACCAGATACCTTATGCCTTTGTTAGTAGCCTTACCTGTTGAAGGGTAAAGAACAAATCTGGTACCACTGAAATCTGGCAGTGCTTGGTTCTTCAGGTAACTGGGTTGTTAACATCCATATTCATCTCAGTCATTGTTTGTTTGTTTGTTTGTTTATTTTATTTATTGACTGTCTCAGCTCACCCCAGGGGCAGGGCTGGCATGGCCTGTGGTGCTAGGGATTGAATTGTGTGAGCTTGACTAAGCTTGCCTAAGCAGGCACTTTAGACCGCTGAGCTATCTCACTGGCCCCTCAGATATTGAATCCTATCAAATATGTATGTAAGAATATAGAATAATGTAATTTTTATGTCTTTGTGAAAAAGGACTACCAGCCATGCAGGATTACCTGAGATCACACTTGTTTGTAGCATTAAAAAAAATCTCTTATGGGATGGGTACTCCCCAGGGACTTCAGGTTAGTGGGGAAGCTATACAGGTTAACTGTTCAATTCAGGAAACACTTCGCTCAGTTTTTCCAGTTGATTTTTGGAATACATGGAAAGATCTCGAGGAATGAATAGGAACTTAGCAGAAATCCTGCCAGTGAAGGATTAGATTTCTAGGAGGAAGAAACCTCATGTGTGGAAGCACATGACTACAGAAAGAGCAGGTCACACCTGAAAACCTGTAAACACACAAGTTCGGCTGAAGCAAGGAGAGTACAGTATAGTACATAATGGCAAGACATAAAGCAAGATGGTTAATAGAGCCAATTTAAGGATCTTGTAAACCCTGCTAAGGAGCTTACATTTTGTTGGTAGTTGACAGGAGCCATTGAAGAATACTGAACCAGTTTAATTTTAATTGTATGAGTACTGTGTTTAAATTGCAGTTAAACACCTTTATTAAGACAGATGGTAAAAGGTTTATCCGTAAGCCAGGTTGTTGCACATAGCTGTAATCCCAGCCACTCAGGAGGATGAGTTGTGAGGATCAGGAGACCAAGACTAAACTGGGCAGTGTAGTGACAGCTTGTTTCAAAAAAAAAAAAGGAAAACAGGGGCTGTTGAGATGGCTCAGTGGTCTAAAGCACCTACTTAGAACAAGCTCAGCAAAGCACAGGGATTGCGGTTCAATCCCCCAGCACCACATGCCAGCCAGCCCCGCCCCCTGGTGGGCTGAGCTGCCCCCCCCACACACACACACATAAATAAAAAAAAATTAAAGAAAAAAAAAAAAAGGAAAACATAAAAGATTCATCCTTTTGTGACTCGAGTTAGAGTCAAAGGTTCATAAATCTAAATCTATAATAAATACATCATCAAGAATTTGATGGTTGTCCTCTTGCTGGTTTTTAGCCTGTAGTGTTCATATGCTTTTTTCTGTTCCCTTTGTTCCTGGCGGGGAGGTTTCATAGCAAGTAGTAGTTGTGACTCTTCCCGGTCCCTGGCTTCCTGCAGTACGACACTTTGAGGAGGTTCAAAACTGAACTGAATTCCCTTTTCAGGTTGTTAAGCACAGAATTGGAATCCCAGGGACTGGGCTTCTTTGGCCACTTAGTCCTATGTACTAACATAGGGTGAGATGGCCAGGAGAAAACAGGGATGGCAACAGAGGTAACAAGAAGGAGCAGCTGACCAAAACAGAGAAGAACAGTGCTGGGCTCTGTATTACTCATTATATTTTTATTACACAAATATAAATGAGATTAGAGCATTATAAATAGACACAATTGTTTAGAAACAGGTCTAACCAGGAGTGATAGCACATACCTGTAATCCCAGCATTGGAGAGGCTGAGGCAGGAGGATCATCTTGAGTTTGTGGCCCTCCTGTATTACCTACAGTTTGCACTACATGGCTAGACTTTGTCTCAAAACAAAAACAAAAGCAAAAACAAAACAAAACAAAAAAAACTGCTCTCATAATCACTATAGGATCACTGTAAGAGCCCTGGACAGTGGCACACACCCATAACCCTAGCTCCTTGGGGAGATGAAGCAGGAGGACTACAAGTTCCAGGCCAAGCTGGGCAACTTATTGAGACCCTGTCTCAAAATAAAATAAATATAAAGGGCTAGGGAGGTAGTTTAGTGTTAGATCGTCTATGGATTTGGTCCTTAAGTAGATAAAATTATGAACTTACACAGGCCTTGGTAATAGGATTGTATCATGTACCAGATGGGTTTGGTAGATTGGTACATGAGCAGACTTTGGTGAATGAATGATGAGGATAGATAAGGGAAAGTATGACTTAAAAATTTCTGATGTGAGAAACTACCTAGGTGTGTAATATGGGAGAAAAAAATGGCATGGGTGAAGTGAAAAGCAAATATCTTGGGGCCAGCCAGATAGCTTAGTGGATTAAAAGAACCTATCTAGGCAGATGCAGAGGTAGGGAGCTTGAACTCTGGCCTGCCTGCTAGTCCCACCCCCGGGCGCGCTGAGCACTGAGGCAGCAATTGAGAGTGGTCGTTTTGGTATGCGTCTGTAATTCCATCTCTTGGGAGGCTGAAAAACAAGGATTACTACGAGTCCAAGCTGCATAGTGAGACCTTGTAGACCCTGTACTAAATACAATTAAAAAAAAACTTATAGGTTCTGTTCTGCATTCAGCATTGTGATGTCTAATAGGCATATGATCATGTGAGAACTCCAGACTAGATTTTGAAGTTAAAAAATACAGAAAAGATGTCAGAAATGGAACAGTATGGGGCTGGTGAGATGGCTCAGTGGTCTAAAGCACCTACTTAGAACAAGCTTAGCAAAGCACAGGGACCACGGTTCAATCCCCCAGCACCACATGCCAG